GCACTCTGAGACAAGCCACTGTTGAGTTTAATCTCTTGTTCCGTTATTTTTAACCTTCTTTCTCTACATTGGTACTAACCTCTTGTTGTTACAGATTTTCCAACAACATATCGGGGTGTTTTTTTATACTTTGTTGAGTTGTAGATTTGGTTATTCTCTACATGCCCTAGTTGAAGCATTTAGTTAGTTCGTTTCATATCTCATATTTGCTCATTTAGTATGATTCATAGCTTGGTTAAAGTATGATTTAAATGATAACTGTTTGGGGATTTGTTTTGATAAGATCCTAGTTACAGATTATTGTTTATGTTTCTTATATGCTTGGAATATATGCACATGAAGTGTTTGATATTATTCTCAGGTAAAGTTTAAAGAGAGACATTGATCTGATTTTGTTTCAATCCATATTAGTAACCATTCTAAATCGATTTTAACATTGGTATTAGAGCTTTGGTTAACTTCAATGGCTACTACAAAGACTATTCTTTCCGATTTGATAAAGATTGAGAAATTAGATGGCTTTAACTGTTCAATTTGGGAAAGTAAATTGTTTTTCTTATTCCATAATATGGAATTGTTATATGTGATTAATGATGAAAAACCTGTTGAACCTGATGATACAATTCTTACACATAGACAAAGGTTTGTTAAGTGGAAAAATGATTATTTCACATGTAGAGGTGCCATTTTAAATTGTCTAAGTGATATACTACATAAAGTTTTTGAATGCTCTGAAAATGCTCAAGATTTGTGGGTTGGTTTTGATAAAAGACACACCGATGATAACTATATGGCTAAGTGTGAATTGTATGAAAAATACAATATATATATGATGAAGGAAAATCAACCAGTACTTGAATATTTTGATGATATGTGCATTATGGCTAACTAACTTGCTTGTTTTTGTGAATCTATAAGTAAACATCAACAGATTATGAAGATTATAGAAAATCTCCTTAAGTCATGGAAGTATTTAAAGAAAAATTGTATTATAATGGGATTGTCCATACTTTAGATGATCTAAGAGGATACTTAAGGATGAAAGGAAATGATAGGGTTGAGGAAAAAAATTAAAAAGATAGAAACCAAGCCTATCTAGCAATGGGCAACAAGAATGAGAAGGGAAAATCTAAAAGGAAATTTAAAAAACCTCCCTAAGGACAAACTTTAATAAAATTTAAGAAATGTTATAATTGCTATAAATATTGTCATATTGTCAAATATTGCATGGAACTCAAGATGAAAGATGCTGGTCAAACAAGTAACACTAAGGATTTTACTTTTGTGGCTAAATAATCATTGATGGTGAGTTCCACGAATGAGTGGTGGGTGGAATCGAGAGCCACTCGGCACATTTCCAACACCAAAGAACAACATGATAGACTTTAAATAAATGAGTGACGATGTTGGAAAACATTATATAGGCAACTCGTTTAGCATCAACAATCCTGGAGAGAGAATAGTTAGACTTCAACTTCCAATTGGTGGCACTTTAACTCTTACTGATGCATTATTTGCCCCAGATATAAGGAGGAACTTGCTTTCTCTCTCTAAGATTGATAATACTAGAGGTCATGTCTATGTGAAAGATGGAAAAATGATCATTAAAAAAAATGGGGCTTTTATTGTAAAAACCACTATGGTTGGCAATATGTACAAGCTTGATCTTGATAATAAAATAAAAATGTCATTTGCTTGTTATGAGTGTTTCAATAGGTTTGGTCACATTGGTTATGAAAAATAAATATATTAATGAAAGAAAATATAATCCCTTATTTAGAAAAGAAAAATTTCAAATGCGAAAGTTGCTTCAAGGGAAAAATGCATATGAGATCATTTCTTAAAGGTAAAAAGGCTCAAAACTTACTTGAAATTATCCTTACTGATATTTGTGGTAAATTAAAATACAAAAGTCTTGGTAGGTATGAATATTTTATCACTTTTATAGATGATTATTTTAGATATTCTTGAACTTATTTAATAACCCATAAAAATGAAACATTAGACAAATTCCAGGAATATAAAGCAGAAGTTGAAATCAATTAAATAAGATAATTAAAATTCTTATGAGTGATAGAAGAGGAGAATAGATATAATATGAGTTTAATCAATTTGGTAGTGAGAATGAGATTACTAAGCAAACTTCCTTACTGTATACTCCTCAACAAGACAAGAGATCGGTGTTGAATATTATTTTTGGGGTGAAGCTATTATAGCAGCAACATACATATTGAATAGAGTACCTTCCAAATCGATTAATGTAACATTTTTTGAGTTATGGTTTGGAAGAAAACCTAGTTTAGAGTTTGGGGCTCTTTAGCACATGTTCATATTTCTCATGAAAAAAGAGAGAAAGTGGGACCAAAAAGTGTCAAGTGTATAATTGTTTGGTATTCCGTTGATTCAAAGTGATATAGATTTTACATTGATGAAGTTAAAAAAATCGTTGAGAGTAAAAAAGCCCACTTCTTTGAAGACTTCCGAATACTGATATATAAGTAATCTAGATTTTTAGAAGAAAGTGACCAAGAAGTATCACCAAATCCTAGGACAACTGATGTAAGAAGCTCTTCTAGAGTTGATCCGACCTCTAAGTTTTATGAGCTTAGAATGAGTACTAGAGAAATTAAAAAACCTAGTTATTTAGATGATTATGTTTTTTTTAATGAATTGAATGAAGTACCCCATAACTTTAAAGACTTAATTGGCTCCGATGAAGCTAATAGTTGGTTAGAAGCTCTGAAAGATGAATATGAGTCCTTAATGAGCAATAAAACATAATTTATAGTATATTTGCCTTCAGATAGAAAGGCAATTGGTTGGAAATGGGTACTCTAAGAAATTAAATTCTGATGGTAATTTTGAAAGATATAAAGCTAGATTAGTGGTTAAGGAGTTTAGCCATAAAGAAGGAATTGATTTCCAAGAAACATTTTCACTTGTAGCAAGAAAATCTTCAATAATAATAATATTTGAAATAGCTAATCATTATGATTTTGAGGTTCATCAAATAGATGTAAAGTCTGTATTTTTAAATGTCAACTAGAGAAGGAAATCTGCATGACTCGACCTGAAGGTTTTGAATCTCAAGGTCAAGAAGATAAAGTATAGAAATTAATTAAATCACTTTATGGTCTAAAACAGTCCTCAAGGCAGTGGTATTTAATGTTCACTCAAGCACTTAGAGAATTTGAGTTTAATAATATTACTGTTGATTACTGTGTATATACCCGATACAATGGGGTATACATTTGACTTTGGTCTAGTATGTAGATGATATAATTTTAACTGGAGTGATGCAAAAGTTATTCATGATTGTAAAGAGTGGTTATCCTCTAAATTCGAAATGAAAGACATGAGACAAGTTGATAATATCTTAGGAATCAAAGTAACGAGATATAGAAATAAAAGATTGTTAGTTATTAATCAAGATCAGTATACTCTTAAGATATTAAAGAAATTTAATATAGTGAACACTAAACCTATGGCCACCCCGATTGACAAAAAATGTAAGGTATGTAAGGAAATGTATCATAAAGTGACAAGAAAAGAACATTATGAATAAATACATTTATACACAAGTTGTTGGTTCTCTTAATTATTTGATGAATTGTGTTAGACCCAAT